AATGCAAATGCAGTCAAATGTTACTGTGCTTATCTCCTTATGTGCATGCTTGAGAAGATCTCTGGAATGTGGAGTTACTGACTTACAGGGAACGCATATCTTCAACCCGACTGTGTGTTGCCAAGGGCCCCTGAAAGGGGGTATACAAAGTTCAGACTTCAGAGGGCTCTGACTGTTTGGGTCCTTTCCAAAAATGCTATTTCATTTCTACCAATCCGATGGGTGCAAAATGATGCTACATTATGGTTCTAATTTGCATTTCTCTATTATTTTGAAATTGAGTGTCTGTTTCTTTATGTATTGGTTATTTGGGTTTCCTCTTTGTAAACTCCTTGTTCATAGCCTTTGCCCATTTCTCTTCTGGGTTCTCTTTTTTTTTTTTTTTCTTTTTTTTTGAGAGGTTTTTGCTATAGGGTGCGTGCGTTCTCCAGACAGATAGAGACAGAGAGACAGAAAGTGAGAAATCACCCCCCAGGGGGGATGGCCACGCCACAATCCCTTCTCCTTCATTCTCCTCTCGGGATCTTGGGCTCGCACACACACGTGCCCGGCGTGAGTTTAAGCCACCGGGTCCGGGACTTGAACCGCAGTCGACTACGTGGGAGTCCAGCGACATAGCCATTACACTAACTGCTAGTCCTCTCTTCTGGGTTCTCTTTTATTTAATTACTTCAAGGAGTTCTTTGTAAATTTTAACTGCTAATGATTTGCTGATTATAAACAACATTTATCTTTTCCCAGTTTGTGGTTTAGATGATCTTTTTGTTTTCATTGTTGTTTGATAGACATTTTATGTTCTGATCATTAAAAAAAAAAAAAATGCCAGAGGGAGCATGCACACCAGAGAAAGAGAGCCCCCCAGTGGGGTCCTGGTCATACCACAATCCCCTTTCCTTCATCCCATCAAAATCCTGGGCATGTGCAGACATGCACCCAACATATTTTCTGAAGCTGCTGGGACCAGAATTTAAACTGTGATTGGTCATGTGGGATCAGGCTCCCTCTGCATAGCACTTAACCACTGTGCTATGGGGCTGGCTCATGAATCTTTTTTGAAGGTTTATTTATTATTTTAAAAGAACAAGAGACAGGCACCCCTAACTGGGTCTTTATACTGTGGTTCACCCCTAGCCTCATCCAGCTCATATCATGAGCATATATATGTGTTCTGCATGCACAGGGGACCTCAGGATGCAAGCCTGAATCTATAGTCTTTCCATATGGGTTCAGTATTGATATGTGTTGCATTACTACTATACCCACTAGTGGCCCTAATGACTCTTTCTAACCAAGATGGTTCATATTTTTGTGCTTTGGTTAAGAAATCTCTCTTAATATTTTTCTTAACTTTTCTTCTAAATGTTTACAAATTTTACTTTTCACATTTAATTCATTTGGAATTTGCTTTTGTGCTTGGTATGACATAGGAATCTAATTTGTTTTTCCATATGCAGAATCAGTTGTTTAGTAACAATTACTGACTTAGTCAAGCCTTGTATCACCAATTTATGTCATCTTTTTCACATTAAATAATATCCATAAATGGGGCTCTGTTGCTTTAGACGGTTTATTTCTGGGTCAACATGACATGTCTTAATTCCTATAAATTTACAGTAAGTCTTGATCTCTAGGAGGGCAAATTCTTTAACCTCCCACTGTTTTATTTCTTCAAAAGAGTCTGAACCAATTTCAGCTGTGTGCTCTTCCATCTAAACTTCAAGACAAACGTGTCAGTTCCTCAAAAAGAAATTCTTTAAAGCTTTTGACTAGTATTACATTGAATTTATATATTAGTATGGTGTATACTGACAGATTTATGAGATATTGAATATTCTCATCCATGAAGGTGGTATACAGCTCTCCTTTTGTTTCAACACACACATTTAAAACAATCTTATACATTATATAACTTAGAGATGATAGCCTTATAATTTATACTTTTCCTCATAAAAATCTTATACATCTCTGTTATATTTATTCTTTGTTTTGCTATAGGGTGCATACACTCCCTGGAGACAAACAAGTGGAGGGGGGGCAGAGGGCATGGTGGAGTGAGGAATCACTTGCAGGGGGATGGCTGCATCAAAATCCATCCTTCTCTCAAGATTTTGAGCAGATGCCTGAGGTGTTTTCCAAGTTGCCAGATCTGGAACTCAAGCCACAAATTCAGTCATGTGGGATCCAGCCACCTTTACCACCATGCCACATGGCTGGCACATGTTTATGTAAACTTTTTTATTCTTGTAAATGGTAGTTTAAAAATTATATGATTGTTGGGACCAGCAGATAGCGTAATGGCTATATCGCTGGACTCCCACATAGTCGACCGCGGTTCGAGTCCCGGACCCGGTGGCTTAAAACTCACGCCGGGCGCATGTGCGTGTGTGCCCAAGATCCCGCGAGGAGAATGAAGGAGATGGGACTGTGGCATGGCCATCCACCCTGGGGGTTGATTTCTCACTTTCTGTCTCTCTGTCTCTCTCTGTCTTTCTGGCAAGTGCATGCGCCCTATAGCTAAAAACCTCTCCAAAAAAAGAAAAAATTATATGATTGCTGACATATAGAAATACATTTGAATTTAATATATTTATCTATAATCCAATAATCATGATAAACTATCTTAGTTCCAAAAGATGTATTCATTCTGAAATTATCTTGGATTTCTGTGCAATTATATTCTCTATGAACTATGATAGTTCTGTTGCTTTCTTTATGACGGCTGGGATCTGAATCTATGATATGGTTGAGTGGAAGTGGTGACAGTGGGTACCATTGTCTCATACCTGACGTTTAGTTTTTTCTTGTTTATTCATAATAGAGCATGCATATATAACAGTGGCAGAGAGAGAGAGAAATGAGGTCTGGTCATGCTATGATCCCTCTCCTCTAGCTCATTGAATTTTGGGCACCAGTGTGCACGTCCACATGTCTCAGGCTGACCAGGCTGGGGATTTGAACCATGATCACCACATAGGACCTGGCTTCTTCTGAGTGTATTACTACAATGCCATGGAGCCAAGACTCATTTAATCTCTAAGGGTGGTATTTTCTATAGGTTTCTTAAATGCCCTCTATCCAATTGTGAGATATTTCAAGTATGAGTCTTTACTCTGGTTTTTGAAATAGTATTAACCAATTAATATTTTTTATTTTAGAAGTTAGGTATGCTCATGAACACAGAAATCAAGTAGGTGAAAAGTACAAGTGCTTCTTCCCAGTCTCAGCCCTACTGTTCAGATGCAATCACTGTTAACATTTTTGTCTTTCCTTCCGGAAATGTTCAATGCCCATACAAGCATACATTGTATACCCGTTTTCTTCACATAGATCACATGATACACACCATTCAAGAGTTTGACATTTTTTCACATATCTTTAATACTGTTTTTTGCTAGTACACATAGGTCAGCTTTATATCTCTATTATTATTGTTATTTTGTGAGAGGGTGCATGCTCTTGTCAGAGGGAGAGACAGAGAGGGAAGGAGGAACAGGGGAAAAAATCCCCCATGGGATCTCCTCCATTTCTCTATCCTGTCAGGATTTTGAGTATGTATGGACACATGCTCAATGTGTTTTTCAAGCCTTCAGGGAGAAGATTTGAACCACGCAGTTGGCCATATGGGATCTGGCTCCCTTAATCACCAGACTACGGGGTGGCCCCATCTTCATTCTCTTCAATGGTTGCATGGTTTTCCACTGTATGGATGCCCCACAATGTGTTCATCCTATTCATGTATGTTGAGGCTGTTTCCTTATAAGCTTACTATTCTGTTTGTTTGCTGTTACAAGTAATGCTTGAAGGAGCATCTTTGGATGTGTGCCTTGGTGCATATCTGTAAAATAAATAGTGTATCTGTAAAATAAATGGGCAAAATATCTAGTTGTGAACTCTACTTTCTAAGCTCTACATCTCTTTCAAGGAATAACCCTGCTCTTTCCAAAAGGAAACCCAGAAAATCTCTGAACTTGTTTTAATCAACATCCTTTAGGTCTTTGCCTCTCTGTTTCCTCCTGGCAAGAAATGAAAACCAGGGCACGCAGAGCAGACAGCACACTTTCTGGTGCTTCTCCTGTGGGCCTGCTGTTTCACTTGGCCTATCATAGCCTCTGTAGACTTTGGAACTAATTATTTATCTGGACAGTCAGTGTCTCCTGCTCCTTCCTGTCTTCATGAACTTCCTACTTGGGTACCTGGTTCCCTGGGCTCCTCCCTACCTTCAAGGGCAGCCTGGCCCTTGGACTTGGCTCCGAGGTATCTACTTGCTCTTCCTTATACCAAAGGGCTTCCTGGACTCCCACCCTCCATCCCCTCCACCTGTGCTGCTAGCTTTCTTCTTCTTGTAATAACCAACCCTCCACCTTCCATCTGCCCAATCCCAGCAAAAAAAAAAATCTCTCTCAAAAAAAAAAATCAGATTAATGCTGTTTTCTTTTTACAAGATCCTTCAATGGCGTCCCAATGCTCTTAGACACAAAATCCAGACATGTACATGGCCTGCCTCTCACATTCCTCCTCCAACCCCCTCTACCCATGGGGCTTTCAAGCTGCCCCTCTCTTGGGCCTACTACCTCACTCAGGGCTTTGCATTTGCATTTGCTGTGCCTTCTGCAGGACACCCTCCCACCACTGTAGCAGGCTCAGTTTCACCCCCAGCTCCTCGTCACCATCCCACTAGAAGGAGGTGCACCTCCCTTTGTCCTTGATAGCTATTATCATGTCTCCCCCAGAACAGTATGGATTTTCTTTGGAGAAAGAACCTGTCCCCAAGCCAACACAGACCTCCTTCCCAGAGGTACCGCAATACTCAGCCAGTCTGACCCTCCCCTCCGGAATTTGACCCTTGACATGGTGACGCTAGAATTTACAACAACATCATGAGAGCAGGTTCATTTCAAAGGTGGTGCCAGGAGGAGCCCGCCCTGGAGCTGCTGCTCTTTGACAGCCTCGCCCTCCCTGCCCTCCCCACCCCTTCCCCTCACTCCTGCCCATCCCCCTTCCGTCCGGTCTGCATCACCCTGTGGGTTCAGCTTTGCCTTCCACTCTCCGGACTCCCCGTATCCTGTTCCAGTCCCACTTTCTCTTTCGTTAGCTGCCTGGACTTCTGCTCTTTGTTCAGAGAATCCTGCCTGACTCACTGTCCATCCTCTGAGGGACCACTCCTACCTAGGACCCCACCCTCCAATTTACCCGGTACCCCCAGCTTGTGTCTGCACACAGATACCCTCTGTCAGTACTTGAGGAAAGAATAAGGAAGCCTGACAGTGGATGTGTGACACTCCATGAGGAGGAAATGCACAGACCGAGAAGAGGAGTGAGTTGTGAGAAAGGAGCAGACACCAGGAACCACTCATTGCATCATGCACTTTTGGTTTGGTTTATACCACTTCCGTTGGCACAGACTTGTGGCTTCGAGGAGGCCTCTGGGAAGGATGAATAAAGCATCTTTACTGTAAATTACTCAGCAGTGAAATACCCCATCTAACCACCTCCATCCCTGTGGGTTGTATCGGGGTAAATACATGAATAGTTTTCTTTTGATGAAAAGGGAAGTTTTACTTGAGAGAGTGAAACAGTTACACATCTATCAACTTTCTAATAATTTTCGAAGTGCCGCAGACCTCATGTTTAATCTCTAATGTGTTGTTAAACTGATTCATCCCTCTTTCCAACACTGCTCTTTTGTTATATTCCAGTAACCGGCAGAAGATTGTGGAAATGATCGCTGACTCGCGCTTTCTGAATCAAGCTATCGACATATTCAGGAAACTGAACTCTCCACCCCCCAATCTCCATCAGGCTGGCCAGGTTTGTTTTCTTTCTGTTTGATTATCTATCTTATTTTTATTTATTATTGTCATTTTAAAATTTGTTTTATAGGGTACATGCACTCACCAGAGAAAGAAAGAGAGAGAGAGTGAAAAAGCAGGCTGCCAGGTCCTGTACTTGAACTGTGGCTAGCCACGTGGGAGTCCAGCACCTTCACCACCACGCCTCCTGCTGGCCCCCAGCCCAGCCAGTTTTCTCTGTGGCTGACCATCTCTGTATCTAGAACCCAGAAAACTGCAAGAATCTCAGTAAATATGTATCCAATGGCTGGATTTAGTTACTTATTTTTATAAGAATGCTAGTCTGACATGAAGCAAATTCTTTTATCCTTGTTTCAGATAGAAGCTCGTTCCAGAATAATGAAATCTCAGCTTGACGGATCATCTCCTCCCTTTGCCCATCTCAAGTCCCCTTTGGCCAGCTCTGCACACCTCTAGATGTGGGCAGTTTTTCCTCGTGGTAAGCCAAAGACCATACTGCGGGTATCGATAAAAGGAATTCACGCTCTTACTCTTGGTTGCTCTTCAAGTATTTAAAAGGATCTTACCCATTTTTCCAAGATGACCACGGCCATCACATCACACATTTCCTCTAAGAAATCTTCCCCATACCTGCTCTCGCTGTTCAATCCCCTTCCCTGGAGATTCCTCTAACAATTCTAAAGTAGCGTGGCTCCAGAAGTTCTCTACTGGCTCCTCTCACTTCACGACATTAAACACATCAGCACACTGGTGTTCTCCAAATTTCCTCCCGTGCTCCCCTAACCCCCAGACTTCTGGTCCACACACACATCTTATGTCTCCATGCAGCAATTCCACATGTCCCCTGGGATCTCTCACTGCCTTTCAAACTCGGGGTGCTCCAAGTGGAGCTTGTGAGTTCCCAGCTCCCACCAGGCCCCTGCTCTCAGCCAGAGCACCCCCTTCACTGCTGCTCAAACAGAAATCCAGGGCTCCTGCTGCCTCCTTCCTCTCCCTCACCCCCAAATCCAATTCATCACCAAGGTTGTGGATTCTATCTCCAAAATGTTTTCCAAATCTTCCCATCTCTCTATGGCCGTCACTGTAGCCTGAGTCATTCACCAGAATTCCTGCCCTGAACGATTACAGGTACCTCCTCTCACCCCTGGCCTAAAGCTTGTGAGTGATTTCCCACGGAACCTAGAATAAAGTCCAAACTTGATCTGCCCCGCCTGTCTTCAGCTTCCTCTCCTGAATCTTTCCTCTGCGATCTGAACGTCTACCGCTCGCCTCTGTCTGCCACCGAGCCTTTGTGGATGTTGCGGGGGCCTCCCCTCTTCTCCTCTTCCTGGAGCGCCCTTCCCCTCCTTTCACCACGTCTGTCTCCTGCTCACCCACCACTCACCTTGTCGGAGCTCCCAGTTACTTTCACCCAGCATCTAAAGAGGACTTCATCACATCTTTTTTTTTTTATTATTATTATCATAATCTTCTTTATATTACATTGGATTACATATAACTTTACATTGACTTCCATTGCTTTTTCAAAAGGGAATGCCATGCATGTCAGTCAATACAGAGGCATCGATCTCCCCGCTTTATCATTCAAAGTCTTTTCCATGCATTTCCCAATAATTATTATTATTATAATTTTTTAAAACAGTCAATCACTATTTCTCATTTTGCTTGTTAAAAGACTTCACCCATCATGAAATACTTCCCAGACCAGTCCAGTTGAGAATACTATACACGTCATCTTCAACAGATAATAAACCATATCTGTTTCTCACTAACATCCCCTCTATTGTTCACTTGCTATCTTTCTCTATCCTCTTCTCTTTTTTTTTT